TCGTATAAAAAAGTATGTTACAAAAATTATTAGCCTGGATGTAATTCATATTACAAGAATTTATTAGCCCAGATGTAAAGACACACATAATTACGCATGAACTGCTCTTGCAGCGTCCTGTTGACAGGGCAGCTATTTCTTTTAGCCTCATCTGATGTGGTCTGCGTTTGGAGAGCGCGCTCCCATTTCGCCCTAAAGGGGGATGTTCTTCTAATCTGGAGACACGACGGAGACGCCGAGTGGACCTTGGAGAGACAGACAAACCGCACGAGCCGCTGGTTAAAGGATGAAAACGCTGTCTTGAACGGTGTCTCACTGTCTGCCCTTTAAAAACCAACGTGTTTACACCAAAATCAGCGATCCAGGTCAAAGTCGCCCCCTCCTCCCCGGCGTGTGCGTAAAGATTAAGTAAATATGGCAACAATGCCATATTCATTACATAGCGCACTATTCTGGGAGCCTATGGTATCCGAAAACGCAGCGGAGAATATTCAGCGTGCTCTTAAAATCTCACAGTACATCGCATTAGGTAGCATACAAATGATGTACCTAAGCGCACACGGTCCGTCTTTGTAAAGGTCTACGAATCCCTTTTCTCTACACTGGGAAATCATGAGCACTTAAAGGGCCAATGGAAAACAGACTTTACCGCACCTTTTTGAAATAAAAGCTTTTGATATAAACATAAACACCGTTAAAGTTTCAAAATGTACCATACTCTTCCCCGTCTATACAGCTCAAATATAGAAACTAAGCCGCAAAACTGCCTTTTTTATTTGTTTCTGTTATGTCACGAGAATCAACTCTTCTAAATATATCCACCTGTTCAGCCTGCAGCAGATTAGCCCCGCCCATTCATACTGAAGTTTAGGGAGTGTCTTAGTGCTTTTTGAATGAGGCACAATACAGGGCACCCAATCAAAGCAGAGCTCAATTATCATATATCATATATCATATATCAATTATCATTAAAGGTACTGTAACAAAAACTGGAGGTTTAATTCTAAGGGATAAAAAGTGGTTGGAAAATGGTCATGTAAAAATATTTTTTAACCATTTTGGGGGCATAAAATCACACAAATGTTATAAGTGGACCTGAAGAGAAATAGTAAACTACAAGAGAAATGTAGCCTACGGGCGCTTTAACAGAACACTACTATAAAGCACAGAATTCATGACTGAAGCGATGGATTCATATGCATCACTCTGCAACTTGTCACATGCAACTTGGCGGTGCATTATGGGTACTCCGTGTGCACTAGGTGTATTGTTCGATTGTAAGAATACGGAATATTCTCCACTACAGTGTCGCAAATGGAGTACTTCTGCACTAATAAGTAGTGTGTTTACATTGGAAAATGCAATGGGAAGTGGTGTACTCTTAATGTTAACTGGAAATAAAAACTGATCTTCAGTGTTAATTCATGTCAGTAGCCACATAAAGCACTAGTCATCATATCACATTATTTAAAAGAAAGCTTATTTTTACATTATCTTCCTTCAAACTGTAAGGCCTTTTGCACGCCTCTAAAACGTATTCTAAATTTTGGTTACATCACCAAGGACTAGTAGGCGAGGAAAAATAACAGTAACCAATAATCATCGGACAAAAACACTAAGCTGTTAATTAGTGTCACGTTACTGAAAGAGAGTGACCTTATTAAAAGAAAATGCGCCTTGGTTTCTAATTCATGCTGACTGTAATACTCAGATTATGTACATTGGGACTGCTGGAAAATAAGTTTGCACTCAGAGGTCACAGAGTGCTGCAAGAAAAGTGTTTTTTTCTGTTCAGTGAAAAACGTGTTTGATTTGATACTACTCTATGAAAATCCAGGCGCTATATAGTCAAATACATAATAAACAATATAAGAAAATATTGCACATTGCCGAAATTAGACGCGGGTATGTTTTCAGAGGCCTTTACAGAATGGCAGCCTTCCAAAAATAGTGCACATAGTGAAAATAGCGTAGTTTTGGACATAGCCCGTCTATGCAGGTCAGCGTACACGGGGTTAAATCGAAACCCAAGTGAGCTAAATAAGAGCAGGACTAATGGCAACGCGAAAAGGTCATAATAACAAACCATTAGTGTTTCTGCTCGCAGTGTCCTGGCAGTGGGCCCGCTCCCGCGGAGCTCTAGGCGCGCTCACGCTCAGGCCTTCCTCGTTAAGGCCAGGCTCTTCAGGCTTCTCTCTGTGAGCGCGCCATGATCGATCGCGCACTTGTTTACTGCAAGCCATCAGTGGTGAAGCAAAGCAGAGCCTTGTTGGAACTCTGGAAGCATTAGCTGTGGCTCAAGTAGGCGAACCCGTTATTAATTGGTGCAATAAGACGACCCGAAGGAAGGAAGCAAAGCGCACAAGTTAAAGAGATGATAAAACACGACACCAAAACATTTTTGCTGGAGCTGTGTCAGGAGTTCATCACTGAGTGTTTAATAAAGAACAGTTTAAATCCGACCGAAATAGTGTCCATTAGGCCAACGGTTCTCTTTTTTAAACAGATAACAGATAATGAATGAGTGAAAGATAAAAAGTTGAGTAAGTCGCGTTTAATCTTGTTTTATTTTATGGGGAGCCACATCTACTATTTTATATTATGCTCCACTGAGCTGAGGTAGAAGTAGGTTTTAGCACATAATTTTAAATCATTTTCATAGCACCCATTGCATAATGTCCATTGCAAGGATAAGATATTTTATATAAGACAAATTCATCAAAATGTATTATTTTCATTGTAGTTGAATTGTATTACATAGAGATTTGGATTATATTACATACAGAAGGTCTCAGGTTCTGCTACTATTCACAGTCTTGCCGTAATCAATCATCAGATGTTTCAGCTGCGCGCAGGTGTTAGACATTACAGGCTCTTTAAAGACCTTAGATGACAGTGTTTGGACCAGTTAGTCAATCACAGGGCGTATTAGTAACACTTGCCACACGTGACACGTGTTAAGCAATAGCATTAAATAGCATTATAGGCAAACTACAGGTCTTTCCATCGTATTAACAAAGCAAGAAAAACAAGAGAGGAACAGTCCTCAAAATACTCAACTAACAAAGGCAGAATCCGGTTTATATCAAATTAAACTGACTTTAATAATTAAACTAGAATGTCGCTGTCGTTGGACTTTATTTATCTTTGTAATCTACATAATGCGATGTGTTTGTACCAGTGAGCTAACGGGGCTATTTTCAGACTAGTAATTACGTGTATACTATTAAGGCCTACTTCTTTTGGGCAAAGACATACAACTGATGTAAAAAATTCCAAGAACGACCACCGTTAGAGCCCCTGTCTCACAGCAGACACGCACTGTTTCCATTAGAATAACGCGATGCTGCCCTCTTGCGGCCAAATCACACGGCGAGCCTGAAAGAAACTCTTGTCTGGTTCATTAACATCCAAAACTTTTATCTACAGTTATTACAGGGCACAGAAGGTTATGTGTTAAATATTTTACTATTTCATAAAATTGAAAGCAAACGAGTAAGGATGAATCTTTTAATACTTTATGCAAGAAGCTCTATGTGCATTATAAATTTAAAAAAGTTTGCGGGAGAGTGTGACTGTGAGACAGTCCAGAGAATGACCCTGACCTAATTCCCAATACGAAGACATATCTGGGGAGCAATTCAGTGCAGAATCCAAACACATTTGCGCAGCAATATTCCCATAATTCTGCGTAGCTTTGTCAGATGCACTTGAATTTATGACAGATGGGAATACGATGTTTATTGGACTCGTGCCTGCAGTCCCTAAAGCTGCAAGATGCAGCTGGTAAAATACGCAGTTCCATTAACGTGTCTTTTTTTAAAAATGTCAATAATTCAACCTAGATTTAAAATGTAATCTTTCTTATTCCTGCAGCCTACTAATATTAAAATTAACGTCAATGCCTGAAAAAGTTATTTGGCCTTTCGTTTTTTGCTCCCGCCGTGGCAGTAAATAAAACTATTGTGACGGGGGGCACTAAATAGACAGACTGTCTAATGTGTTTTGTAATATAAACAAAAGAAAGTACTCAGAAAGAAAGAAAGTAATTCAGCAAAGTGCATTTTAATATATGTGTAAATAGAAAGCCATCGAGACACATGGGACTGGAACTGGCAATGCAATGAGATGCGTTGAAACACATTGCTTAATCAGGTAGGCTTTGAACAAAGACTACATCCAATCCAATATGCAATAACACCTGAATTTAATGCTGTGGCGGCTTCATTCCCTAGGAATTCTATGTTCAAACATTATTGCGACATAAATTGGTTTATAAAGAACAGGCTGGGAACCTTCCAAAAATTATGTCCAGTGAGGTCTATTATTCACTAGGCCCTTGCAAATTCAGTATACAAGCTACAGTAACAATACAAATGACAAAAAGACATTGTTTACAAAAAAAAATACTAGTGCATTTGATCCTATAATGCTGCCTGCCCCCCAGTAAACATTCTGTATTGCTTTCATTATTTTTTTTACCTAAGTGATACAAGATTGCATAATGACTCAAGCAATTGGTCATTTTGATATACACAATGTTCCTGAATTACAGGATAAGTGGTGAAGGGGTTGGAAGTTTGGTACATTCAATGCCTGCTTTTGTTTGTCATGGTTTCATAATTTTAATGGATGATAATCGTTTTCAGTGTTTGAGAAGGAATTGCGCCAGTTGAATTATAGTTTGCAAAAACATAAAAAAATCAATACTTTTAAAAGCAACGTGCACAGTTTTCTCGGTATGCTGCACAAGAAATTAGGGCACCAAATCAACAAGGCAGATTACACAGCCAGAAATATGCACAAAATATGTATCAATGCTGACAACAGAACACATGCAAAGCACATTGTGATTCTACAAAAAACACATGCAGAAATATTACAAAATTTTGTAAGACAAAACTACAACTTTTCTTGTTCAGCGTAAATCTACATTCATCTGTTGTAAACTCATCAAAAGAAATGATTTATTGGTTTACAATCACTGATTTCTACCTCAATATACACAAATGTTCTAAATAAAGAACTTATCAAAAGTATGTGGTTTGATAGCTTTGCTAGGTACATACATTTCATCACTGCAAAGCTGGATAGCACTCAAAACACACTGCACATTTTTTTAAAGGAACCATAAACCACCTTTAGCATTTCCTTGTCAGTTTTTTTTGTTGCTGAACACATGACTGAAGTCAGAAGTCAGATATGAAAATCATTCACCTTGTTTTGTGAAGCACAACAGACAGTGGAAAAGTGATGCATACTATATTGTTGTCCTTATTAACTACACTACAAAAACTAAGTACAAACCTGGAAATTTTATGTAAGATTAAATAATACCATCATAAGCTTTTGTAATTTATTCACATAATTTCAGTTAATATACCTTTCATATAACTGCTGACGTATTACTGACAAATTGACAATGCTAGGAAGGAAGAATAGTGCTTTTCTTTTGCTTAAATGCATCCTCATTTTCTGTCAGTACATGGACTCACTCTCATGCAAGCTGCCAAAAGGGAGGCTGAAAGTGCTACCAAGTCTTTTCGTAACTCCGCCTCCTCCTCCACTTCTCCAGCTCCAGTTCAGTAAAGAGGTAGCGCCTCTGTCATTATCCTTGCTGTGTCCCTTCTGCCTGGCAGACTGAGTCTCCCTGTCACTGCTGGGTGAAAGTGAGGCCGCCCTTCTCTCCATCTGAGCCAAAAATATGTGTTACACTGGGTAGGTCTTAAATTACAAATGTTAAATCTAGGGTTGACAGTAAGTAGGGCTGAAAGATTAATCATTTTTATATCAAAAGAGTGCAGTCTTCCAATCACAAGAGCTGCAATTTTATACACGTTTATAGATGAGTTGGACAAATCAGGTGCAACCAAACATTCATGTGCTGTGTGCACAGCAACACAATCACAGCTAACTGGCATGGCTAATTTATAGAAATAATTGCATTTTACATTTAAATGGCAGTCACAATATTGGTCAGAGAAATCACAAAATATTAGTATTGCCATTATATTGCTGCACATTTGTTATATTAATATATATTGCAATATATTGTAAGTGCATTATGAACCAAAAATGTGATATGGTTAAAAACTGGCCTGCAATATCTTGGCCAATTTACATTTTTGGATTATATCTGGCTCTACAATCAAAAGAGGAAATAAAATTTTTTTGACTCAATTCCTGGCTCTACCTTAACATTTGAAACCCATATTGATAATGTTGCCAAAAAAGCTTTCTTATATATAAAAGAAGTACAGCACAAGATCATTTCTCACACTGCAGGATGCTAAGAAGATGATCCATGTTTTTGTCTTTTCACGACTAGACTATTGTAATGCATTATTCACAGGATTACCTAAAACCACAACTGACAAACTTGTTTAGAATGCTGCAGTGTATTATCACATACAAAAAAGAGAGAACATATAACACCTGTTTTAGCAACTTAACTCTGATCGATGTTTCATTTAGAATTGATATTAAGATTCTTTTACTATTTTTGAAGTTCTTAATGGGTTAAGACTTCCATGCATTTTAGAATAGACTTTGTTCTAGATTGAGTCTTAAGATAACCAAGTGCTGCATTACTGAATGTTTCCAGAATGAAGCATAAAAAGACCGGCAAAGCAGCCTTCTGGTATTATGTACCAAAAATTTGGAACTCTACTTTTTGTATTCAGCCATCTACCCTTACTAATGTCAAAAAACAGCTGAAAACGTTTTTATTTAGTTTAGCATTTTACTAGTTGCTACATATTGTTCATTTTTTATTTAGAATCCCAATTAATAATTTTATTGTTGTTTTCATTTCTAATTTATTGCTCTCTTGATTTCTCTATTTCTTTTATATTTTATTTTATCATAAATGTTTGAATTTTTATTCTATCATATGCTGTATTGTGTATACTTTCATTTACACTTCCTTACTGTTTCATTTAAGCATACTGTGACTTTGAGCTGCATTTGTCTGTATGAAAAGAGCTTTATAAATAAAGACTATTATAATTATTACATAAATACCTACATTCATCAAAATATTGAGCGATAAAAGTGTTTTGCTGCCATCTCGTGACATCTACCATCTGTTCTCGTGCATGTGAAGACTGAGAAATCCAATAGAAATCGGAGTACGAGTATACATGGACTGAGAAATCTGATTACTGAGCTAAAATCCAGCTCTCTTTATCGGATGTTTTAATCAGATTTCTAGATCGGAGTATGGTGTTTGCATGACCACTTGAATAATCGGATAACTGCAGAAATCCGATTATGAACAGATTATTGAGTGCATGTATATTATGAGTGCAATGATTAACAAGACAAGCAATATATTATGCAGCAGATGTTAAGTTACAAACTTGTAAAATATGTAATCAATATTTATGACAAAATATTTCATGTGTGTGTACCTCGTGAGTTTGGAGGGTAATAACGTCAAGCTCCACTCCTCTCTCCGAGCAACTTTTCAGAGCGTGCACTACTTCTGCGTGTTCTGCCCACTTGCAGTCTGAACCATTCACAGCCACAATATAATCACCTTCACACAATCCTGCTTCCTGCAACACAAACAGTTCAACTTAATCCTATTAAAAAAACTGTCAGCTTAATTTAGAGTGATTTATTAATTTCTAATTATGTCCATTCTGAATGCATGTAAAAGGCACACTGTTAGGATAAATTGAGTGTACTTTTTTGTGTAATTTCACCCTACCTTACAGCAAATATCTGTGACCATCTCCTAAATTTTATAAGGGCTCATCATTTTGTTCCATTGGGATTCAAAGATTTCTGACACTATCTGTCTCTCCACTGCTGTTACCAAGTGGCTTGACTTTACTGATATGCAGTACTGTGCAAAAGTCAGAGACCACCCCAATATACTTGCATAAAGAAGTAAAATATAAAGGAAAATAAGTGAAAACACCAAGAGTTTCCAAAACTGCAGTTCAAAAAAATTAACATATACAGAGAAAATGGGACTCCTATCAACCATGCAAAATCTGGTAGACCACCAAAGCTGTCACCATTAGATAAACAGTACTTAAATCTTTCATTTTTAAAAGTTAGGAGAAAACCAAGCTCCATTCTTGCTTCAAATCTGAAGTTTGTCCTTCCTTCCATTGTGGGAAAATAACTCAACACTAGGTCTGAAAGGATGTGTAGCTGCCAAAAAGCCATTACTGAGAAAAGAAAACTGACAAAAAAGAAAAAAAAATTGCAAATCAAACAAAGAAGGTTCTGAGATTCTCAAAACAGAAGAGTGACAACCACAGAGCCCAGACCTCAACATCAGTGAATGTGTTTACAATTACTTGAACCGTGAGAAGCAGGAAACTGAATCAACTTCCGAAACTGAACTTTGGAGGTGTTTAAAAATATCCCTTCAGATTTCTTTGAAAAACTGAAAGTGTCCAAAAAATGGAAACTGCAATAAAGGCAAGTGGATAGCTCAATGCACTTGAAGGTGAGCATTAACTGGCAACTGTCTTACGTCAGCTAATAGATTTCTGCACAGGCTAGCAGTTTACTAGTGATGGGAGAAGAGGCAAGGCCAATTATGCCCTCTGGGGCTCCTGTTCATAGAAGGCTGCAAAAATACCAGGAACTTAGCTTATGATCTTCCAATGATAGAATGGTTGCGCCATTCTACAGTGTTTTTGCTTTTTTTTCTTTACTGTCTGTATATACGGCAAGCAAAACTGAGAAAGTGTTGCAACTTTGGGATGTTACAGTACCTAGAGGTAAAGGCCACAATGTAGCTAGCCAGCAATGTTAAAACAGCTCATGTCAGTGAACTTTCTGCTTAGACTATCAAGCAGATGTTTATTCACAGAAACCTTACACAACCAAAAAAAATACACTTCATATATGCTAACAGTGTACATGCATACAAAATAAAAATTACTTGAAATTAATAATGCACTAAACATGCATTTTGAGGAAAAACTTTAAATGGTAATTTTGCCAACATTCTAAAAGATTATCCAAGCTCTCTATGAAGAAAGGCATTTGTGGGCAGAGTCTAGACAGATTAATTGGTGGCTTCCAGCTTCTATTAATTTTTACCCACATTAATATTGTGTAATGAAGCTATTTCTTTTATAGTCCCTTCACTGTAAACAATTTGTAAACGGTAGACCTCCTTACTGCAGCACAACCCCCCGGCAACACACCGGCAACCAGAACCGGTGAATCACCTCGCAGAGTGAGACCAAGCCCTGTCTCTTCCTGAATCAGACACACACGGCGCCTCACCCATCGATTCCGAGCAGAGAATACAGAGAGAGGACCCTACATATATGAACACACACAAACACAGTCAACAAGCAACATGTACGTACAATCCACTGAGCAACACGACAACAACATCTAGTACTGGGCAACATACTGTCCATACCAGTACATGTTTGATAGATAATGACTATTATATCCATGTTATAATGCCTATAAAATAGTAATGTCCATGTTACTATGCAGTGTGTTTTTAGCTTTTTGATTCTATTTTGTGCACTGTACTCATGGCATTTGCTCTGTGCTTCAGGCTGCTTTGAAGAAACAGTTCAGAATCAAATAAAAGTAAAAACAAAATAAGTTTCCTCTCTGGAAATGTGTCTTAAAGCTGTACTAGTTGGTAATTCCTTCAAATATTTTGTTTTATACACAAATATATTCAAATATTCATTTAACAACATTCTATCAGAAATCAGTTCACATCAAACTGGCCACACTATACTAATCCATTACAGTCTTGATAATTAAAATGCACATGCTTCCTTGCATGCTTCCTATTTTTAACTGTTACATGATTCATCAGTTTCCATCTACAGGTCACTGGGACAAGCTAAACTCTGGGACAAGTCTCATCTCGATACATTTGCAATTGGAAACACAGCCATATTAAGCTTTCCACCATTCAGCATGGTAAACTGCATGGGGATCTTCCCTTTCCTAATTTTGAATTATATACCTTCACGCTATACTCACAATCAGTGTGGCTTAACCAAACACACAGATTTAATGGAATGCCATTGAAGAGTTACCTGTTGACTTAAATGAACTTTGCTGTTAGTCGTATTCCTATTAGACATTGTATGTAGAAGAAAAACTGACAGATCTGCTACTTAATGCCATCAGCACTCTCCTCTTTTCAATAACTACAATAACTTTTAATATCTTATGGGAAATGCTCCCTTTTGCTGCTGTAAATGAGTCCAAAACAATATCAAATTATCTATGGTGCAAAAGGCTTAAAAATTTTGTTAAGACATCAAAAATCAATATGGCGTACTCTGCACTTCTTTCTTTATGTATTTACATAGAAGATTTGCAATTCATGCTTACGGGGTTCCATGGAACTTAAATGTACCCACTTTATCCACTTTTTTATCCACTGCATGGTTTAAACCCTCCTAATAATCAGCTATCCAGATCTAGCTCAAACATCTACTCCTGTCTAGACATGGACTAAAGATATCAGTCCAGACATTTAACACCAGAATATTTCCTTTTTAAATGAAGTTTCAGACCCTTCTTTGCTTTCACAGGAGAAGAATGTGCTGTTAGCAGTTTTCACAGCTTCCAAAACATTCTTAGTAATACGCTGGAACCCTACATATGTTATGAATAGAAAAGTATCGGCCCTACCTTTACTTGACATTGTACATGTATTGATGTTATATCTAAAAATGTTAATAATTGTTAATAATAAAATGGTAATTTTGTATGTTCTGCTGAAGACATCTAATATTAAGACAAAAGTGTTGCCTGTATTACCAGTCGGTGAAAGACGTCCGTTATTCTAACCGAGCTGAAGTCAGGGGTTTGAATATCAGGCTTTTGATGAGTGTGAGCTGTAAGAGAGAGGTCAGAGGCCATGGGTGACTGTTAAAATTGCTGATATCAGACTTGCAGTCTGTAAAGCAGTACATGATTAATGAAATTGATATACTTATTTCTGCAGCAATATAAATGTTTAGATAATATAGACATGTAAACAGTAACATCATATTTATGTTTTCCATGAGACTGTTAATAGGGTGTAGTGCTTCCACAAGTAAATAATCGGTCACCATTATTTGAAGACTTGAAATACTTTTTTCCTGTCATAACTACAATAACACAATCCCACTGGTGAAAAAATATTTACTGGCGAAAAGTGAATATTTAAAATATCTCCTTACACTGAATCTCTGGAGCTTCTGCAATTTCACAAAAATCATCCTCTTGATCAATGCCTGAGTATTTTTCCAGTGAACGTGTGTGTGCATATGACAGAACTTCCTGTAAAATATCCATCTTGCGCAGTATCTTGCACACACCATGGAGACGTAGCGCCTCCTCGTGTCTTATGATAGCTTTACGCAAATGAGCTTTACCTAAACAGTACAGATACACATTTTAGTTAAACAAACAGTTCATACAATCACCAAACAAGGAAAGATGGATATGTATGGCTATGGTCCCAATTTTTTGGAACATGTTGCAGGCAATCCATTTCAGAATGACTGTGTATTTACAAAAACCAATGTAGTCTTTATTTAAACAGTGCTGTATTTTGCCTTTATAAAGTTGCATAAGGTGTAATTTAGTAATTTATAGGAATTTTGAGTATTTTTGCTGCTGATCGAAGTAATTTAATGAAAATGCCTCTGACAATATCACTTTTGCTGACTTGCAATATCAATCTCAATATTTATGCCTCTGAAATTGCTTAAAAGAGCCATAATCTGGATTTAACAGCCCTCATTAAATGTAAAAGACTTGTAACAAATGTGTCACTTTGGTGATGCACTGAATGTACTTATTCAAATATTTGCATCATTTCCATATGAATAAAATATACAAACCCAGTTTAAAAACTGGGACAGGTGTGAAATGTCATAGCAGTGAAGAGTACGGTCTGTTTGACCTGTACTAAATTAAAAACAGTACAAAATATTTTATGTTTTACCTTATGAATTGTGTTACGTCTTAACAGCACTTAATAAATGCTTGGTGACTGAAGACATAAACTTTCAGTTGCGTTTTTTGGCCTTGAACCTGAACATTTGACAATATAGCCTTAAATTGCCCAATCCCAATTTTTTGGAACATGTTGCAGGCAATCCATTTCAGAATGACTGTGTATTTACAAAAAACAATGTAGTTGACAAGATAAAACAATAAATATCTTGTCTTTGCAGTGCTTTCATTTGAATACAGATCAAATCACTGCTTTCTGTTTTTATTTACATTTCACATACTGTCCCAACTTTTTTGGTATCGGAAAATTGTATTAATGTAATATATTATACGTTGATGTGACACATGTGAATCAAGTAAATTCACTGCATTAATTTTAGGGACAGTGTGACTGAATTAGTACATTTTTGTCGACTATTTTTCTGAAATCATCATTTTATAGCATCTTTAATATTGACTTATGATTTAATTTGATTGAATGATATGATGTTACCTACGATTTATTTGATATGTGCACAATATGACAGACTCTGAACTGATACCTTTTGTTTAATAACCATTAAATAATTATTTTTATCATGACCTTCAACACGCTGTCTAACCATTAAGTTGCACATTTAACTTTACATGGAGTTAGTTAACAATGCTTTAACAAAAAGTACCTAGCTCAAATGTTGTTAAAACACCAGCATTGTAGACAATACAAGTGGCTGCTGGGCTGTTTCCACTTAACTTTTCCATTTCTTAACTCGTTTACCTGATACCTACTTTATGTGTTTTTGTAGCCACATTTATCATGGCTATCTATTAAATCTACTGTTAAATTGTAATAAAAATATTTTTACTTCAATATGGTTTCAGGGTGTACTCCAGACTTCTTCTTACATTATACATTATATATTCATACAGTGTGCACACACCATTGAAGTAGCATGCTTACCCAGCCTCAGTCTGTCCTCTGGCTCTTGTAGACACAGTCTGTCTGGAGGTCTGGTGTGGACCTGCACTAGGGCCTTCACTCCTGAACCATCATCCTCGTCCTTGTCAATCATATCTATGGAGCCACAAAATAGAAACATGTATATTAAATAATGGTAATGACAAGTCCCTTGTTGGGCCTGATCAAGTCAAGTCAAAGTTTATGTATACAGCACTTTTTACAACAAGCATTGTCACAAAGTAGCTTTACAGAAATATCCGGGTCCAAGCCCCCATGAGCAAGCCAGTGGCGACAGTAGCAAGGAAAAACTCCCTAAGACCAAGAGGAAGAAACCTTGAGATGTAAACAAGAATCAATAGGGGAGCCTATCCTTCTCTGGTTGAACAGCAAAACAATAACACAAGAGCAATATGATCACTGATACAAACTTTAAAATTAAGTTAAATTCCATTAGCCAGTAACACTGGCTTACATGGTATTAAAAACATTAGTAGACTTTAATAGTATAGTAGCTTTAGTGAAATGTTAATGTTATGATTTTATGTGTGTAGTGTTCAAAGCTGTGTTTGCTAGCCCTGTACTGGCTAGTGTATTGCTCAAAATGACCTAAAACAGTCAGTAAAAAAAAAAAAGGTTTTGGAGGATTTATTGGTAATGACAAAATGTATACATCATCCAATTATTTCATACATCGTCCAATTATTTATTTTAATTAAAAAATATATTGTTTTCAACAATTCTGTGTGTGTGTTATATAATTAACAGAAATTACTGAAACTGCTAAAAATGCTGGTAAACTCAGCCTCTGGTTTCTGTTATTAACCTCTTATTTTTATTAGTTTTTTGTAATATAATTTTTGTCATGCTAAAGGTTAAGTTTGGATACATGTTACATGCTTTTGTTTATTTTACTCATGATGCTGATTTGGTGAGGTCACTTGTTACTTTGTTAATTTATTACTAGGTTTCGTGTGCTTCTCTTTTTTGACCAGTTCAGAAAGAGCACTCACCTGTGCAGTCACACAGTGCAACAGCAGTGTAGTAGTGGGCCAAGGCTCTGAAATGCTGAGTTTTGACCTGAACCACAGAGACCCAGGAGAATGGAACGTAATCTTTCAGCAAAGGCACTGACATGGCCTGCAGCACCAGGGAATAGACATCTGAAACCTAAAAGTTACACACAACTGAATGCTATCAATGCTTAAAAAAGAATTACAACTCTGATTAAAGTTGATATATATATATATTTGTGTTTATTTTGTGAGTGTTTACCCGTGCTGCCTCCTGAGCTGCCTGCAGGTTTGACATGAGGTCGTCCTCTTCTATAGTAAGCGTTACTTTCTCACAAACACACTCCTGAACCTATAGAGCAGGGGTGTCATACTCAACCACTGAAAGGATCATATTGATAAATCTCAAGAAATCTATGGGCCAGCTGTGTTTCTATTTTTTTTTTACTTAACATTTTGCCATGACCCCAACTGGCCATTTATATTTAAAATATGTCAAAACTACAATGGCAAAAAACAGACACCGAATACTTCACAAATAATTCACCGAACAATTCAAAAATAATTCTAATGAAAAAAAAATGTTTTATATAAAACAATAGGCTACATTAGCTGCAGATAACTGTTAAACCTCTTTACATGTCGCAAATGTACAGTAGGTATTTTTTCTTTTTTTTTATTTGTGTTGGACAGGGGCTGAGAGCACATACTACACTGCAGATCCAGGTCAATTATCCTAGGCCCTGTCCCTCACATCATAAATTTCCATGAAAAGAATTAGCTAATTAAAAGATTAATGTTAATGTAAAATAAAAAAATTAATACAGCAAATTATCATTATATAGCAAGCAATTCCAAATTTCTGAACAGTGGTGTATGTTAAAAATGCACTGATTAATGAACAATGTCCCATAGTTAAAAATTACTTTGCATTATTTCGGCCAAAATAATTAACTTTTAATTGTTTACATGAACTTATTAATTCATCAAAAACCCACAGAGACACCCTTCTGGAGCTGTGACTGGTCAAGATGCTCACAGCACAAAACCGAGACCGAGATTATCTGTGTATTGTAGCCTTCTGCAATATCAGTACTGATTCACTACTAATCACTATATAGTACACCCCTAATACACAGGACATCTGCTTTAACTATTAAGACCATACAGTAACAATTTAGTGTCTAGGAATGCATTACTAAAATTTGAACATTAAAGCTTTAATTTAATTCAAGCAACACTGCGATGGACTGGCAACCTGTCCAGGGTGTTTCCTGTCTTCTGCCCAATGACCGCTGGGATAGGCTCCAGCTCCCACCATGACCCAGAAGGATTAATCTGTTCAGAAAATGTATGTGTGTGTGTATGTGTGTGTGTGTAATTCAAGCAACTGCATAGCACAATATTGAATTAAACTGCTCAATAAGAATTCTATATTACTTCAGATCAACTAGTTTTTTGATAATAAATGCCCTCAACAAGTTAATTTATTGGAGGATGTACTTAATAAGTCACACCATGCAATATTTCAACTTCCAAATTTAATCTTTCAGTCAGTTTTCAAAATAATTTTCGCAAAATGTAGGATTTCTGCAGTGTTCATACATTTCTAGCAAATCTATAAATTATTAAATTCAGAATGCAATATTTAATGCTAGACTAGGGGTTAAAATGCTTTCACAACTAAAATTCCATTTTGTAGGCCTTTTGCTCTGTATTTCAGGGAATAATCCCATTTACTTCAAACATTTACCAAATAAGGACTGTTCTGTCTGATTAACATAAAAAACAATTGCAGGAGTGATGACTTCTTCATAGTTTCATATTTTTTTGAAAATTAGGCATTTGACTAAAAAGCCCAGCAGAAAATTTGTTACAAAAATTTTCAGATTTCCAAATTAACCTTGCTAATGCTCCATAAAGTCTGCACAGTGAATTTTAAGAGGTAATAAGTTCTTGTATTTCTTGTTGATCTATTATACTATCCAAAAAGTATTCTATTTTATGGGTTTTGCTTGGCTTTCTTCATGGAAATCCATGATGTGACCCGATAGGCTATAGATGTGCTGGCATGAAATTACCCATGTGCATTTTTTTTTTGCTACAAAAACAAGCTTTAGATGAAACAGTACACATATGTGTAGTATATACACACAACACACATAGTATAAAACATGCTGCACAGCTACTTTATAAACGTTAACAATGATTAATATTACACATTAATTATTTTACAGAGTGTGATTCACCACCCCAATTCCAAAAAAGTTGGGACGCTGTGTAAAATGTAATTAAATGTAAATAAAAACAGAATGCAATGATTTGCAAATCTCATAGACTCATATTTTATTCACAATAGAACACAGAACACATATCAGATGTTGAAAGTGAGACATTTTAACATTTCATGAAAAATATTAACTCATTTAGAACTTGATGGCAGCAACACATCTCAAAAAAGTTGGGACAGGGCCGTGTCTACTATTGTGTAGCATCCCCTCTTCTTCTAACAACAGTCTGTAGTCTGAGGAGATCAATTGCTGGAGTTCTGGGAGAGGAATGTTGTCCCATTCTTGTCTGAGGTACGATTCTAGCTGCTCAACAGTCCTGGGTCTTCTTTGCTGGATTTTTTGTTTCATGATGCGCCAAATGTTTTCTATTAATAAAAGGTCTGGACTGCAGGCAGGTCAATACAGCACACAGACTCTTCTTCTGCGAAGCCATGCTTTTGTCATGGATGCAGTGTGTGGTTTAGCTTTGTCTTGCTGAAATAAGCAAGGCCTTCCCTGAAAGAGACATTGTCTGAATGGGAGCATATGTTACCAAAACCTGAATACTTTGTTCAGCATTAATGGTGCCTTTACAGATGTGCAAGACTCCCATGCCATGTGCACTAATGCTCCCCCATACCATCATGGATGCTGGCTTTTGAACTATGTGCTAATAACAAGCTGGGAGGTCTTTAGTCTGGAAGATGCAGTGTCCATTTTTTCCAAAAAGAATGTCAAATTTTGATTCATTGGACCACAGGACACCTTTCTACTTCCCCTCAGTCCATGTTAATGAGCTTTGGCCCAGAAAAGGTGGCAGCATTTCTGGATCCTGTTTATGTATGGTTTTTTCTTTGTATGATACAGCTTTAACTTGCATTTGTGGATTGCAGGGCAAACTGTGTTCACAGACAATGATTTCTGGAAGTGTTTCTGAGCCCATGCAGTGATTTCTAGTACAGAATCATGCCTGGTTTTAATGCAGTGCCATCTGAGGGCCCGAAGATCAAGCATCTAATATTGACTGTCGGCCTTGTCCCTTATGTACAGCGATTTCTCCAGATTCTCTGAATCTTTTGATGATATAATGTACTGTAGATGGTGGGAAATCCAAAGTCTTCACAATTTTACATTGAGGAACATTTTTCTGAAGTTGTTCCACATTCTTTAGATGCAGTTTTTCGCAGACTGGTGAACCTATGCCCATCTTTGCTTCTTAGAGACTCTGCCTCTCTTAAATGCTTTTTTTATACCCAATCATGTGAGTTACTTGGCAAATTGCTCCTCCAGCTGTTTTTTTATTAGTACCACTTACTTTTCCAGCCTTTTGTTGCCTCTGTCCCAACTTTTTTGAGATTCGTTGCTGCCATCAAGTTCTAAATGAGTGAATGTTTTTCATGAAATGGTAAAATGTCTCACTTTCAACATCTAATATGTGCTCTATGTTCTATTGTGGATAAAATATGAGTCTATGAGATTTGCAAATTGCATTCTGTTTTTATTTACATTTACATTTTACACAGTGTCCCAACTTTTTTGGAATTGGGTTGTACTATGTGATGGATTTGCAAACAATGCAAGTTTTACATATCTGAGGCACAATATACTCAAGATATTTAAATTAAATCCACATTTTGAAACATATGTTTTAGATGTATATAGACATTTTTTTTTACCTGAGCGACCATGAGGCGAACCAGCATGCTCAGTGCAGGGCTACTCATATCTAGGCTGGGAGCATGAGAGAAGTTCTCTTGCAAGTAGAGAAATGCACCTGTTGAACAAATATTCACGTGAAAAGTTCCACATACACAGCAAAAAAATCTACTGTTATTTTGCATTATATAAAATTCTGTCCACTAATGCATTAATATCTAAAATAATATTTCCCTCGTCACCCTGCCTCTGAATGTTAAAAGCCTTCACAGCCTTTAATTGTAAATATAGAGAATGTCTATGTTAACGGTAGTGATATTAGAACACGGTTATAAAATCAAAAGGTCTCTGAATCTGAGCAGTTTTATTGCACTGAGAGAAAACTGACAGAAAATAACATTTCACATGTTGAAGCAATTACATTTCAACCATTCATCACTCATTTTGATTTGCACACATACGCAACAGATTACAGTACCAGCTGCTCTCTGGAAAGCATCAATTGCGTTATGGATGCCAGGCAGCATGGAGCGATCTTGTCTTGCACCGATTTGTGTGTACAGCGCTCCAATGTTGAACAATAAACTTCCCTTTTCGAAAGCCAGCGCTCTCTGGCATGATGGCACACCGGTCAGGGAGTCATACCTAGCAGAAGAATAAGCCATGTTTCATGACTACACACATTTTCATAATACACACAGATGCAAATGAATACATGGTACAGTTGCACAGTGTGGATTAAATACTAGTATTTTCAGTATATTGTTAGATATTGTGATATGCCCTGCAAAAAAGCTTGAACTCATCAAGTTTGGAATTAGTGTTTTCGGTAATACAAAACCAAGTGTGTACAGTGAACTTCACATGTTTCAAAGTATATTTAAAAATAGTAGATTACTAGAAAGTAAAGGCTGTATAACATCAAGAATTAAGCTAAACTAAAATTAATATCCAGATTAATTTCAAAAGTGAAGATCAAAACTCGAAGCAAATAAGCTGACAAAAAATTAATGTAAAGAGATAATTACAGTATATTATTTATCATTTTATTCGTTTCTTGTTCACAGAATGATTGCAAACTTTTGAATGCAATGTAAATTAACAAAAATTGTTAATATAGCAAGTAATTCCAAACTTTTGAATGGTATTGTATTAAAAAATGCAATGAACAATGAACGCTGTGCCAAGGCCAAAGACTACTCGCTATTAGTTTGCCCAAAATAATTTACTTTTGATATTTACATGAATGTATTAATTCATCAAAATACTCACAGAAACCCTCTTCTGGAACTGTGACTAGTCATGATACTCACAGCAGACAGAATAAAAAATTATGATTGGTTACAGGGCTTACCTGCCTATTGAAGCCCTCTGCAATATTAGTACTGCAACAAAGGCCAATATTGTGACAAAATAATAAATATATAATATGTCCCTAATATGCAGGAAATCTGTTCTAACTATTATGAACATTTAATAATATATGTCCAGTGTCCAGGGGTTCATTACTGGAAATGTGAAAGCTAGAACAGTTGATAATAAATTATTCATAAACAATAAATAAAATGGAGTAAAGTTAAAACTCAGTGAGACGCAACTTATACATTATTTGTTGCAAAGTACTCAGATACACTTTCTAACTAGTGAATTCAACTTCATTAAGGTGCTCCTTTTATTGCTGACAGAAGTGTTCAATTGCGCATGCACACCTTTTAGAACTTCCATAGAAAAGCATTGGTAATAGAATGGGACACTCTGGAGCAACTTCACATGAGCTCAAGGTGCCATGGGCTGTGGAGCAGTCAAACTTTGGAACACCATCAAATATCTTTAGGATGAACTGGAGTGGTGTTTGTAATCCAGAACTATTCATCCAACATCTGACCTCACTAACGCAATCATATCCTCACAACAGTGTTCCAACATATGGTGTAAAGCCTTCCCATAACAGCAGAGCCTGTTACTGCAACAAAGGGGGGACAAATGCCCTTAACACCCTTGATTTCAGAAGGAACTTTCAATGAGCACGTGTCTATAAATTAGGGATGCATCAATAACATTTTTTCCAGACCAAGTAAGAGCATGTTTTTAAATACTTGCCCATACCGATACATACTGAGCGATCTACTTAGAATTAAGTAGATGTTAGCTGTAAATTAGTTGTTAAATAAGTGCAATGTACCCTAACAGTTAAATTATTAAACTGGTTTTAAATGACGTGCATTAGCTAGCCACATTACATTAATTAAAGTATGATTCATAGTTTCTGTTTTTGTCTCAACAACAGTCTCAGTAGCACAGTGACAGCAGGAAACACATTTGAGTCTAAGGCAACTGAGGAGCTCGCTTGCTGAGTTTAAAGTTTTGTTGGACTTTAATTTGTTGGTTGAGCTGTAGTTGAATGTCCTCTAAAGTCAGGCATACAGTGTGCCATTTTAGAAATCCTGCTCTTTGGTCACTCAAACTTTACGTGTGAATAGACCATCATGTGTGGGCAAAGCCTATGATCTATATGCTCACACTGTAAAGAAAAGCTTGTTCAGATTGACTTGCGTGAAACATAGCCCCTGCAGAGAACAATGTCTAAGGCAAATTATCAATAAAGCTGTTTCATTCAAAACAACATGGTACACATATGAGTACCGAGCAGAAACACTGAGAGGTTTGTTAACTTGTCCCACACTGTGCACTGAAACTAAAACCAGGCAGTGATATACATGGGTTGGATGATACTGTCTCTGTATAGCCTATTTTGCAAAGTATTCACTCACCCATCCAAATCATTGAATTCAGGTGTTCCAATCACTTCCATGGCCACAGGTGCACAAAACCAAGCACCTAGGCATGCAGACTGCTTCTACAAACATTTGTGAAAGAATGGGTCGCTCTCAGGAGCTCAGTGAATTCCAGCGTGGTACCGTGATAGGATGCCACCTGTGCAACAAGTCCAGTCGTGAAATTTCCTCGCTACTAAATATTCCACAGTCAACTGTTAGTGGTATTATAACAAAGTGAAAGTGATTGGGAATGACAGCAACTCAGTCACAAAGTGGTCGGCCACGTAAAATGACAGAGCGAGGTCAGCAGATGCTGAGGCGCATAGTGCGCAAAGGTCACCAACTTTCTGCAGAGTCAATCGCTACAGGCCTCCAAAGTTCATGTGGCCTTCAGATTACCTCAAGAACAGTGCGTAGAGAGCTTCATGGAATGGGTTTCCATGGCCGAGCAGCTGCATACAAGCCTTTCATCACCAAGTGCAATGCAAAGCATCGAATGCAGTGGTGTAAAGCGCCGCCACTGGACTCTAGAGCAGCGGAGACGTGTTCTCTGGAGTGACGAATCACGCTTCTCCATCTGGAAATCCGATGGACGAGTCTGGGTTTGGCAGTTGCCAGGAGAAGGGTACTTGTCTGACTGCATTGTGCCAAGTGTAAAGTTTGGTGGGGGGGAGATTATGGTGCGGGGTTGTTTTTCAGGAGTTGGGCTCGGCCCCTTAGTTCCAGTGAAAGGAACTCTTAATGCTTCAGCAGACCAAGAGATTTTGGACAATTTCATGCTCCCAACTTTGTGGGAACAGTTTGGGGATGGCCCCTTCCTGTTCCGCACCAGTGCACAAAGCAAGGTCCATAAAGACATGGATGAGCGAGTTTGGTGTGGAAGAACTTGACTGGCCTGCACAGAGTCCTGACCTCAACCCGATAGAACACCTTTGGGATGAATTAGAGTGGAGACTGCAAGCCAGACCTTCTCGTCCAACATCAGTGTCTGACCTTCCAAATGCGCTTCTGGAAGAATGGTCAAAAATTCCCATAAACACACTCCTAAACCTTGTGGAAAGCCTTCCCAGAAGGGTTGAAGCTGTTATAACTGCAAAGGATGGGCCAACATCATATTAATCCCTTTGGATTAAGAATGGGATGTCACTCAAGTTCATATGCATGTGAAGGCAGATGAGCGAATACTTTTGGCAATATAGTGTATATTTCTAATCACTATATTAAAGTTTATAAAGACTAAAGATGGCATATACAGACTTTGGTAGCAAATGTTACAATTTTTTGTTTCAATTTTGCTAGCCTAAGTTGTCTCCACCTGTCTTGAGGATGTGGGTTGTGATTGTGTTTGTGTGTGTTTAAAAACAGGCTAAAAACGCACAATGTCTGTCTGGCGGAAATATGCCAAGGCGGAACGTTTAAAGTGACCAGCGACTTTGTATCCACGGCGTCAGCAACACTTCACTGTGCATGCAGACCCTCGTTCACTGCCAGCTTAAGTTTTTTGTTCCTTCAGGGTTCATACACTTTTTAAACAGTGATTCCATGACTTTTCCATGACATAAAATATAATTTCCATGCCAAACATTTAGCCTAGTGCTGGGCAATATATCATTTATATACCATGATACTAACATACAATTTCCTGTTTTAGTGATATTTTTCATGATATATTTGATAAATAAGGACAATTTACTCTTGTGCACGTTACTCATAGCCTGCAGTCCTTGATGGTTTACATTTAACTCATTTGCTTAAATTCCATGAAAATAAGGAAACATAGGAAGCATGAGTTTATTAACTTTATTAATGTTAAGCTTTAACATCACCTGATAACATAATGCTGTGATATGTTTGAAAATGCCATAATATTAAATTTTATCAGTAACTGCCGAGCAATAATTTAACATATAGACAGCTATTCAGAGAGGAAAAAAGACATACATTATTTAAATGTTACTTAAATATTTAATTACTATCAGCTAGTAGGTCAAATGCAGTTATAACAGAATGAATGTGAGTAAAATTAAAATCTAACCCATGTATAGATATCTGCACCAAGTTTAACAATCTGAGCTCAGGGAACAGATCTGACATTTTGCTTAGTAGATTAATGTTTCATAATTCCAGAGCCTATATATTTTGATTTGACTCCTCAGTCATTCTCATGTGCAAACACATTCATCGTTTTGTTTGGAAGGAGGGGTTTAGCATATATAGACATAACACATAACATAGACGTGTTGCGTATGCACACATGGTTAGGTGGACATATTTATTTAGTGAGTGAAATGAGTTATCTAACTGAAGTTTAATTTGGGAGGGATTCGTTTTGCATGGTGTAGGGAGGTAATGTATTTATTAGGCTACCGAAGTTTCTAGGTGATTTTAGTCCCGTCCAAATCCAGAATGTCTGCAATGCCTTTATGCACGCTTTTTACTGCATTTAGGAGAGGGATGTAACAAAGGTCAGTTCACAACTTTGAGTACCCAGAGTACAACAAAGGCTGTATCAATGTAAGATGCAGTTAGGTTTTACAGTGTTGTGACTGTGTGTGGTTTTGGGTACGACTTTGAGAAATCAGTTTGTGAGGCTGCTTAAACTGTGAGACAAGCAACCAAAATTTCAGACATGTCAGAAATCCATCCGATCGTCCGACAGCTCAATCAGAGTGGGCAGTTTGTAATAGCAGTTTGTAATAGCATACCTCGATGACATTCTAGTCTACTCCCCTACCTTTGAGTCCCATGTCCAACATGTCAGAGCAGTACTAGAACGACTGTTAGAGAACAATTTGTTCCTCAAGGGAGAAAAATGTGAATTCCACCTACAGTCAGTGTCCTTCCTGGGGTACATCATCAGCCCTCAGGGTGTCATTATGGATGACCACAAGGTAGAGGCAGTTTTTCAATGGCCCACGCCCAAGTCCGTGAAAGAAGTACAGAGATTTTTGGGGTTTGCTAATTTTTATCGCAGATTTATTAGGAACTTTAGCAGCAATGCAGCTCCACTCGCCTCACTGCTTAAAGGAAGTCCTAAAAAGATCACACGGACTGAAAGGGCCGAGAGAGCCTTCCGAGATCTCAAGGAAGCTTTTCCTATGGCACCCATTCTGAAGCATCCCGACCCCACACAACCTTTCATAGTAGAGGTGGATGCTTCAGAAACAGGAGTTGGAGCTGTATTATCTCAGCGGAATGGATCTCCTCTCAAATTGCACCCTGTAGCATTTTTTATAAGCTATCACCTACAGAAAGGAACTATGGAATTGGTGACTGAGAACTACTGGCAGTAAAGCTAGCACTGGAGGAATGGCGCCATTGGTTGGAAGGTGCCAATCATCCTTTCACCGTTCTGACAGACCATAAGAATTTGGAATATCTTCGCACAGCCAAAAGACTCAATGCACGCCAAGCTCGATGGTCGCTTTTTTTCTCGCGTTTCAGGTTCAGTATCACCTATCGGCCGGGCTCTCGTAACACCAAGGCTGATGCGCTGTCAAGGGTGCATCAAGAAATAGCAACCTCACAACTGGAAACACCAGAACGCATCCTCCTCCTGAGATAAATGTCTCCTCTATTTGATGGCAGATCGATGAGGAAATTGAAGCAGCTTTACCCCACATCCAAGTACCCATCCAATGTCCCCCAGGTAAACTATATGTACCAGAACCTTTTAGAACCTCACTGATCACATGGGCTCATTCATCGATAACCTCCGAACACCCTGGGGAGACTCGAACTTACAAGCTACTGGCCAATAGATATTGGTGGGAGTCAATGACCCAGGATATTCATTCCTTTGTATCTTCCTGTTCCACGTGTTCACAGTGCAAAACACCTAAAGCATTACCAGCCGGCAAATTAATGCCCTTGCCCATACCCAACCGACCCTGGTCTCATATCACTGTGGATTTTGTCACAGATTTACCTGAGTCACAAGGATTCATGTCAGTTCTGACAGTTATAGACTGATTCTCTAGGGCAGTTCGTTTTATACCCTTTGCCACTATTCCCAGTGCCTTTCATACTGCAGAGACATTGTTTCATTATGTATTTCAAATTTTCGGTATTCCGGAGGATATCGTTTCAGACAGGGGACCTCAATTCACCTTCCAGGTATGGGCCGCCTTTTTGAGCACATAGGCGTATCCATCCATCATCTGGATATCATCCGCAATCTAATGGGCAATGTGAGAGGGCAAATCAGGAACTGGTTAAGTTTTTGAGACTTTTCTGCCATGATAATCCCTCTGATTGGTCTGAAATAGCACTGACAAAACAAATTCATTGACTAGCTCTGCTACCGGACTGACTCCTTTCCATTGTATTTTAGGTTACCAACCACCCCTAACACCCTGGACTGGATCACAAACGGACGTTCCGGCAGTGGACAACTGGATGACGCGTAGTGAACGAGTATGGGAGGAGACTCACCAGCACATTGAGACGATACTCCAACGGCAGAAGGAACAGGCCGACAGACACAGAGGACAAACCCCTGTCTTTCATCCTGGTGACAGAGTGTGGTTGGCCACGAAGGACTTTCGCTCTTCCAAGGGGAGTTGCCGTAAGCTTCAGCCCAAATACATTGGGCCATTCAAGATAATTAAACGTATCAATGATGTGACTTGTAGGTTGGACTTACCCCCATGTTTTAAAGTGTTAGCCAAAGACGTGTTGGACCCAGGCCTCATCGCTGACTTTCATAGTCAGCACCCTGAAAAGCCAGATCCTCGTCCCAGAGGCCATCCACGTAGGAGACTCACCAGTTCACGACCTGCCCGTCTGACAAATCCTCGCGAAGAGAATTCGCCTATCCAGCGCCTCGGCAGCTCTGATTCAGCCCCAGTTCAAGGATCTGGTGGTGAGAGTGGTTGTCGTCCTGGTTGTCCTTGTGCCAAGGCCCACCTGGACTCTTTGTACTGTCACACCTACGGCATGCTCTCATGAAACGGACTCCATCTCCCAGAATCTCATGGGAGCTCATGTGACTCGGCCATTGAACGCGGACTCGGATTCCTACAGAGACTCCATTGCCCATAGTGCAGTGGGGGCTCACATGACCAGTGATTCTCGCAAACGCTCCTATTAGCGCTCACAATCACCGGAATACTAACTGCTTTCACCTGTGTGTATTTTCATGAGACAGGGAACTAGCAGTATATAAGCCCAGGCTTTAGTTAGGTTCGTTGCGAGGTACTGTTTCCCTGAGACTTACTGAGCATTTATATTCTGATTGTCTGACTTCCGTGTTTTTGACCACTGCTTTGTTTCTCCCGTTTTTGTATTTTGCTTCATCCCTCTGGTACTTTTGCCTTTACTGATTGATCTGTGTTTTTTTTACTTTTTGCCTGTTTCATGACGGCGACTTTGCTCTGCACTTTTTGTTCTGTTTGCTGTTGGTTACTAAACTGTCATCAACTTTCCATCCGCAAGCGTCTGGTTTCTGTTGAACTGTCACACGGAGCTTGTTTGGGCAATTAAACAGGTATTGTTTCCCCTATTACCCTGCATGGCAAACGACAGCCAATTAAGCTAAAATTCAGGCTTAAAAACAAGCTAAATTCACCAGTGTATGCCTGGCTTTACAATGGGTCAAGTATAAACCCAGCTTTACACTGAAGAAGCTAGTCACGCAGGTCTTGGTGTGGGAAGCAGCTGCAGGGTGTTTCTCCTCTTAGGTTTATCTTATTAATCCGTCTTCTCCAGCGTTTGAACGTCAAAACATCTTCAACAACTCACACGTCCTAAATGTTACACCTTAGCTATCCGAGATTCATAGTAAGAATATGTCAGTAAAACTAGTCCAAAGTGCAGATACATTAGTCTTGGGTCTCTGTGCTTTTTGCAATCTAGACTCTTCAGTGCTTCAAATGTGATAAGATGACAAACAGCTTAGGGGAGAGGTTCAAGAAATTCCATGATTTTTTCAGCACATAATTTTCCATGACCAAATTTCTATATTCCATGACTTTTCCAGGATTTTCATGACTGTACAAAACCTGTAGTGCAGCAGCACACACTAAGTTTACGTCACATGGTATCAGGTGGTATGGGATGTTGATTTGGCTATGTAGAGTGTCAGTAAACAGAATGTTTACTGAATGCCAACACACAAAACAAGAAAACATGAAAGTTTGTACTTATGACCATGTCATTTTATTGCATAGCCTTTTATTACCACAGCATTAGTAATCTATGCATATTGAATTATAACTTTTATTTTAGGGGTCCTATCTACATGAAAACGTAAAGCATTATAATGTGTCGATACATACCAAAATCTAAGTAGTATAAATAATAATTTACTTCCAATGAATTACATTTTTGTATGGGTATTTGTGTAGTTCTCTATTAACCAATATTCAAATATGTTACTACTGAGCTTGGAACGGTGAGAAAAGTGCTTGATCATGAGTGTGCATGTGGTGCATTCTCTTACCAGTGGAAGTGAACTCCCAGTGTTTTGTGTGGAGCAAAGAAGCGCTGGTCCAGAAAGTAGAGCTGGTTGTAGTACTCCATGAGCAGCTTGAGCCCTGCGCCATTACGGCTAGGGGTCCGCATGGCCTGAGTTGAGTACACAACATATGTATACACTTGAATTAGTCTCTGGCTGATTACAAACTTTACCAACCAAAGTAGCGGTTAATAAATTGAATAATAAATTCTCAAAACAATCAAAGTACTGCTCAGTAAAGTGCAAAATATTTTGGTTGATTTTAAATCAAATCAATCAAACAAACTGCCAAGAATTTTGAGCAGAGTGAGTGCAAGTGAATTGATGCCTGTGTGTCAGATACTTGTCTGAGATCCATAAACTCTTTGATCTCTGCCATATAGAGAGAAGCATCTTCACCATAATGTTCACTGATGAAGTCCTGAAAGAAACAAAAGTCTGTCTATATTTAATTGAAAATCTGTTGTCTACACATTATGGCATAGTATACAAACCCATTGACATTACTGTTACATGGACAGCCATAACTACACTGTGCATCAAAAAAAAAAATTAACATGACAAATTTGGCCTACACAACACACATGATAATCAGACTGTATATTAAAATCAACCTGAAATCAAAATTGATTGTTTTTATTTTGTTACTTCATGTCCCTGGTCATATTAAGCATGAATTATCATGTCATACCCTTTAAAAGAAAAATCTTTGTCCAAAGTGTAGTGACTTTTGCCCACATTTAATATGTCTTGTGAGTTTTAATTACATTTATGCATCAGTAGGGAGAGGTAGAGCATGCACAATGATAATATTGACCAATAAAATCATGATTTTCCTCCCCTCCTTTTCCCCCTACCTATCATCAAGAAAACCCCCCAGCTAGCTCAGAGATCCTCCCTAAACCCATGTTTCACTTGTAAATACGGAGAAGGAAAGAAGAAGGAAAATACATTGTGGTTTCCATTGTGATAATTCACATCCACTTTAAGTATCTATCCATGAACCACAGCTTATGAGTAATTATCTTACCTGAAGGGGAATAGTCATGTCAATTTCCTTAGTCTCCTTTAGTCCAAGTGGGATCATAGGAACATTTACTTTCTCACTTTTAGAAAGAGAAAGAAAACATGTATTATTATGCCTATTATACCAATACACAAATTGCTCAAAAATATCTTTACTGTATGCAACTGACTTCACTGGATCATCATGATTCATTTGGCAACATAAGCAATTTGTATTTACCTATCAGTCTGGTAAACCTCCATACTGCTATTCAGCTCCTCCAGTTCTTCTTTGAGTAGCTGCAGGTTTGAGTTTACAAAGCTCAACTCCAACGACACCGTCTCTTTAACCTTCTGATTAGTTGTAGCCCTGAGATACACACATGCACACAATCATGTGACTATGACACACCTACTTTTCATACAAACAACCAAAAACAAAGTGAAATATAGCCGCGAGCAGCAATGAGCGGGTTCAAGCATGCAACAGCAGTACGGGCCCTTCTGCAGGTTTAGCCCATTAGGCCTAAAAAGGCCTCAAGCTTTTGGTTTAGCCCATTAGGCCTAAAAAGGCCTCAAGCTTTTGGTTTAGCCCATTAGGCCTAAAAAGGCCTCAAGCCTTTTATTATATTAGGCCTAGAGAGGCCTCAAGCCTTTGTATAATAAGTCTTTCTATAGTGAAATCTTTGAATGAATAAGCCAAAATAAAAGATAAGCAGTGCAATTTTTGACATAACATGTAATTGGAAAGTTGTTCATGTTAGTGAACTGAGTCACATGGCACCGATGTTTATATGTTGACCTTGTAATAACATTGTAATAGCGTTTTAATTGATTTTAAGTGTTTTTGAGTGCTAAAGCGCACCCTAAAGGCTAATCTGGACCAAACTTGGCATACTCCATTAGACTCTCAATTTGTATAAATACTCAAAGTTTTGGACATGATCTGACCAAAGACTGATGAGTTATAGCTAATCAAGCTAACAATGCCATGTGTGCAGGAATTAATTGATTGATCCACAAAACAATGAGTAGAAAAGTCAAGATGTTTTTGATAATTATTTACCTACAGATGCCAAAGAATTGTTCTAGACCAATTTCGAAAAGATTGGATCAAAATCCAGAGACTAGTTCGAAAAGTATGGTTTTCAAACAGTTATCGATTACAAAAAAACTATGCACTTTTGTAATAAACATGTATTTGCAAAATTGTTTGTCACACTGTAATACAATAGGCTTTTGGTGAAAATTGTAATAATATTGTAATAACATGTAATAATATGTAAATTTTTGAAATAGCGCCCAACAGTGGTCAAATCTTTTGAAACTCGACTGGTTGTTAGAAAGTGGCTACATATAGACACCATTCAAGTTTCGTCATGATTGGTCAATGTTCAGATTGTCAAAAGGCCTGCTGAATGCTTACTGGTCGATGGCGACCACAAATTTCGATGTATCCAAATGTCCTTAAATCCCCACTTGTAGACTGGCCAAAAGATGCTGCATGCAAAGTTTGAGCTTGATAGGTTGTACAGCTGCAGAGAAAATGCCTTGTTTTTGTTGCTCCACCCCCTAATTACTTACGCGCACAAACATCGAATGGCTACCTCCAAATGGGCTACTAACATGGCCTGTGAAGTTCAAGCATGCAACAGCAGTATGGGCCCTCCTGCAGGTTTAGCCCATTAGGCCTAAAAAGGCCTCAAGCTTTTGGTTTAGCCCATTAGGCCTAAAAGGCCTCAAGCTGTGGGTCTTATTCATAGGCAGAGTGAACAGAACTGATAGGAAGTCAGTTCATCAAAAGGCCTTCGGTTGCCATAAACAAGAAGCAGTGGTGTTTTAAACACATTATAGGTTTGCATTCATATGTACAGATCTACACTGCTTTGTAGAACATCCAAGAAGTTGCACTTGCACAGTGGATTGGTTCTGTATTTAAGCCATTGATCTGATGTAGGCCATAATGAGGCCCAATGCACTCATAAGAGGCCCTATTGGTGTGAGGAGCTCAGTGAAAGTGGGTCTGAATTAGTGAAAAGGCCACATTATGGTATCATTCTTGATCAGGGACCATATCCAGAGACGTTCACTAAGTTTTGGTCAGAATGACCTGTTCACCTTTGTATAATAAGCCTTTGTATAGTGAAATCTTTGAATGAATAAGCCAAAATAAAAGACAAGCAGTGCAATTTTTGACATAACATGTAATTAGAAAGTTGTTCATGTTAGTGAACTGAGTCACACGGCACCAATTGTTTATATGTCGACCTTGTAATAACATTGTAATAGCATTTTAATTGATTTTTCAGTGTTTTGGAGTGCTAAAGCGCCCCCTAAAGGCCAATCTGAACCAAAATTGGCATACATCATTGAAGTCTAAATATGTAAATATCCTTAAAGCTTGGAGATGATCTGACCAATGACTGTTGAATTATAGCAAATCAAGCTAAGAATGCCATGTTTGCAGTAATTAATTGATTGATCCTCAATACATTGAGTGGAACAGTCAAAATATTTTTGATAATTATTGAGGATCAGTGTCTTCTGAATCTTATGGTACTAATTTGATGAAAATTGGCAAAAAATCCAGAGACTAGTTCGCAAGAATAGGTTTTTCACATTTTGCAAATTAGCTCAAAAACTAAGGGGGTGGGGCTAAAAGTGACTAGGGTGCACTTGTTCAGTAAGTTCCAAAGAATCAGCAGAAAAAAGAACTCTGAATCTCACTCTGATCAAAAGTTACAGGCAAAAATATGAGTCAAGTTAAAAAAGATGAAAAGTTGAAGTTGAGTTGAGTTACAGAATTTTATATGAATTCTGAATTATTTTGAATTTATCCAGAAGAGTTCATTTGCATATGGCAGCCATGTTGTTTAGAAAAGTCAAAATGTTTTTGATAATTATTGACCTTCAGGCTCTTCTGAATTTTTTGACACCAATTACATGGGGATCAGGCAAAAATTGTAGGACTAGTTTGCAAAAGTAGGTTTCGCATATTATGCAAATTAGCTCAAAATCTAAGTGGGCAGAGCTAAATGGTAATCCAAATGGCAAAGTTGTTTGGTTGGACCCAAGGAACTAGGAAAAAAATATATCTTGTCTGGGAAAAATCTGGTTAAGGAGTTATAGACCCAAACACGTTGACCTGCGCTATAGCGCCCCCTTGTGGCCAACTGGACTGATTCCTTGCGCCTGAGTAGCGGGAGGGACTACTACCTATTGACCAAGTTTCAAGTCTCTAGGACTTACGGTTTGGGCTGTGCGTTCCGTTTCAGGGAAGAAAAAGAATATGAAGAAAAATCTTGACAATTACAATAGGGTTCAATGCATTGCATGCTTGAATCCTAATAACATGACATAAATATGGGTGTGTAATGGGCCATTATGAGAACTGAAGCAAAGAAAAACTATTTGTGTTTATGCAGATATACTTGGTATTTAAGCGCAGCATATGGTGCGGTTGTAAGTGGAAAAGGCTCAAAGACTTGCTGTCGCTGCACAAATACAAAACCACACATAAGCCCACACCTGTACAGATTTTCCGCTCCTGTTCGCAAACGGAGCTCACGGTTGATTTGCTGATTGAGTTTGGCTCTTCGTTGCTGAAGTTTGCTGCGCTGAGTTAAGACCAGAGGATCACATCCCTATAACAAACACACACAGAGACACACACATACACATGCATATTCATATCGCACACAGCAGATTACTTAGTATAAATGCACCAACCCCAGTTTTTCTCTTCCGATACTGATTCTGATACCTTTGATAACCCTGGGTATTGGCTACTATAGAATATTGATCTGATACCAGTGCTTTTTTTTACTTAAATTCTGTATACCTCGCTGTGTCTAACCGAGGTTGTAACTAGAGCACAAAAGCAACAAAAATTTAAATTAACAAGAATAAAAAACAAGAATTAAGTGTAGCAAAAAACTTTTACTTTTCTGGATAATGCAACAGCAAAATAAACAGTAATTCAAGTGTAAACATTTTAATGCAAGAATGAAGTTGTAAAGTCTATATATTCAAAGAAAATGTGAGTTTAACCCTTGAAATTTTGGCTTTTCAAACATAACAAGTTGCTAAGCTTCTAGCATCTGTATCAGGCATAAAAGTCCTCCAAATTGCAGATGTTTGTTATTAGCCAGCATGAATCATGTTGCTTGTCTTGTTAGCTGATGTTTAAATTGAGGGTTTTTAAAATGAAGCACACTCATTATTAATTTTTTATTGTTCATTTAGCCACATTATTCAAATTTAACTATAACCTTTTAGCCTTAATGAAACTGATAATACTGCAAAAGTATGACATCGATTTTTTAATTGCGAAGCTGATAGAGTAGAGGAAAAAGTTCCTGATGCACCACAGCATAGAGAAACAACTGTGTCAGATTTTACCAGAGCAAAGGGGAGGAGAATTACCACTCTGTAGTGTCTTCTGGGTTTCTCAAATGCTAGAGTGTGCTCCAGATTGGGTCCAAAACGAATGGGTTAAAATGCAGCATTTAAGCAAAATCATAATTTATTAATGCTTAATCATTTTAAATATAAATGAATACATTCATTACCTGAACACAGAACAGCATAAAACATTTAACACCGCTGCTATTTTTTGAGAGCTTTTGAACTCGAGGATTGCAATAGTGCCTCATGTATGTTTCTGACATCGGTGAGCACGAACAGCCAGTGAGCTGCTCTGCTCGCCAACTATTAGCAATAATGGTAGGCCTGCTGCCAAAAACCCATTTGCTCTAGAAAAACGGAAACATACAGGCAAGATTTCTTTGCTTTTTAGTGAAATACATCTCTCTGTTTTCTAAAATTAAAGGAAAGTTCTGGGCAAGTAATTAGAAACTATTTTAACTTTTCATTTTTACCATTTAGCCACATTTATTGAGGACTGTGTTGGGGACACCCTCTGGCATTTTGCCGTCCTGTTTTTGATATAACAGGTAAAATAGGAGGGGGCCAGGCTCCTTTTAAACTGGCTCTGACGTGAGTCTCTGCAGGACCGGAGAAGTGGGCATTTTCAAGGTTTGACGGGCAGGTCACTGGGTGTCTCAAAAGGTGGGCGTATGGACAAGAAAAGAGTGTAGCGAAATAGGTGGGACCACGCAGGGTTTTTCAAAGATTAAAAATTCTGTCTAGGTTACATTAACAATAAATAGCAAAATCCTCTTACAAAAATCCTTCACAGAGCCCACAACCACTTTTCATATCGTTGTTTAGATACAGTTTGTGGTGGTGTGGTTATAAACTATACTATAAAAGTATTTAAACAACGCTAAAATGCTGTATGTGTGGGGTAGCACTGTTTATTGCTGCTGCAGCTGCTCACATCATGCGGTCTCTGTCTGTATGAACAGCTAACGTTAGTTGATAAGTTATGTCAGACGTGGCATGGCTCTCCCTCACCACAAACAACTAGCTATCTCAGAAAATGAAAATCAAAATGTCACAGCATAACTACAAGTTTAAGTTACAAGCTAGGAGTCGTGTTTTCGAGTGAGCAGTAAAAGGTGGATATTATCTGAAGTACTGGTTCAAAAATTATAGTAAGACTAAAAGAATCATGCTGTGTTGCAAAACGCTCACATAGCTAGCCAACTATTGTTTGCTACTCATATGAGGCTGGTGTTCCTTAAATTGCTAATGGTAGGCTAGCTAATAGCCTGATGACCTACCGTTATCTACAAGACAGCTCAAACGAAGTCTATCAAATAGACTTAATAGACATATAATTAGCCAGTAATGGTAACATGACATTGTTATATTGAATAAAAAATAAAGAATATAAAGTTATAAAAATATTAAGATGAGATCAGATTGTGCCATAGATGGCAGCCTCGGTGAGAAATGTGTACATTATGTGTTTGTTTTTGTTTGTGAATGTCATCTATTACGTGTCAAACTTAGCCATTTGGTGCAGAGAACAGTTACTGACCTTCAGGGACAACTTTTTTTTAAAAACCTTCAGAGGTTTTAGAAATCCTCACAACAGGTGTGCTGGCCCTGCTCAACCTAGTGAGAAAGTGGCCGAGAAGTAGGAGAGCTGAAGTGCACGTAAGGATGAGATGGCATGGAGCCTGTACACCTTTACCATCTTTATTTCTCTCCAATCTGTGATCTGTGCACAAAAAATTGGAAGGACTACTTCTGCGCAACCAAACCAACAAGGACTTTTTAAACATATCTGTCTCTCTGCTTCACGGAGACCTGGCTTTCTGATCTGACCATGGACCGAGGCACTGCACCTCCCAGGCTACCATCTGTACAGAGTGGACAGAGACGCAAAGCTCAGTGGCAAAACCAGAGGAGGAGGACTCAGTTTCTACATCAACTACATGAGCTGGTGTAAATATGTCACAGTACTGTTAAAATTATGCACTCTTCTTCTGGAGTCATCTTTCTTATCGACTGCAAACAATTCAACTCTCTCAGAGAGTTTTATTCTTTCACTTTGGTCACTGTCTACATTCCACTAGAAGATTCACCAAAATCTTCAACAGATCACTGGAACTCTGCTCTGTTCCCCCATGCTTTGAAACATTTACAATCATTCCAGTCCCCAAAAAACTAAATGATTGCAGGCCAGCCCTGACCTCTGTAGTCATGAAGGTCTTTGAACATCTGGTCCAAGCCCACCTGAAGTCCATTACCAACTCTCTGCTGGATCTCCTGCAGTTCACATACAGAGCTAACAGGTCTGTCAATGACACACTTAACTTGGCCCTGCACTTCATTCTGCAACATCTTGACAGTCCTAGAACCTACACTAGAGTTCTGTTTGTGGACTTCAGCTTGGCATTCAACACCATAGTGCCAGAGCTGCTGCAAGCCAAACTGTCCCAGCTGTCGCTACCAGATCCCATGTGCCGGTGGATCACAAATTTCCTGACAAACAGGAGACAGCAGGTGTGGCTAGGAAAACACATGTCAGACCCCTGGACCCTTCAGTATTGGAGTACCACAAGGTTGCATGCTCTCACTCCTGCTCTTCAGTCTCTACACCAATGACTGTGTCTCTAAGTAACCAGCCGTGAAGATCCTGAGATTTGCAGATGACACCACTGTGGTGGGCCTCATAGCCAACAGCAATAAGTCTGCCTACAGAAAGGCAGTCGAGCAGCTGGTCTCCTGGTGCAGAAGCAACCACCTGCTGCTGAACACAGAAAAGATGGTGGAGATGGTGGTGGACTTCAGACACAGCCCCAACCCATCCCCTTACCATCAATGGCTCTGTGGTTTCCACTGTGGAATCACTTAAGTTCCTGTGCACCACCATTTCCAGGGATCTGAAGTGGGAGATTAATACGGTCTTAATCACTAAGAAAGCACAGCAAAGAATGTTCTTCCTGAGACAGCTCAAGAAATTCAACCTGCCGCAGAGTCTGATGATCCAGTTCCACACAGTGATCATTTAGTCCATCCTTACATCATCCATAACCATCTGGTTTGGTTCCTCCACCTCAGAAGAATGAGCCAAACTCCAGCGTAATAATCAGGGCAGGGGAGAGGATGATTGGATGTAGTCTGCCAATGCTTCAGGACATCTATAATTGCAGGGTGACGAAGTGTGCCAGCAAAATTTCCCTTTTCACTCCTTGGCCCTACCACTTTGCCCTCAGCCCTCCGTTTTGCATGTTCATGCCTGGGGATAGGATGTCCCAATTTTTGTTGAGATAGAGGAGTAGGGCGAAGTGTTAGGGCTACATGGCCCTCTAAATGGATGTTTCTCAAAGGCACACTCCAAATGGAGCGTTAGGAGAAAAAAGAAAAACAGCAAGATGGCTGCACAAGTCACCAAAGAAACCCAAAAATGTGAGTTTAATGTTCATTATCATCATTATCATCGTCATTAACCGCTTAGTCCAGCTAGGGTCAAGGTAGCAGTTGGGAGAGCAGAGAATCCCAGATGACCCTGTCCCCCGCAACTTCCTCCAGCTCATTCCCCAAGCCGCTCCCAGGCCAACCTGGAGATATAATCCCTCCAGCGTGTCCTGGGACGACCCCGGGGTTTTGTCCCAGTAGGCCGTGCCTGGTACACCCCCACCGGGAGGCGTCCAGGGGGCATCCGGATCAGATGCCTGAACCACCTCAGCTGGCTCCTCTCAATGCGGAGGAGTAGCGGCTCTACTCCGAGCTCCTCCTGGAGTGTAGCCCGCCACCCTGTGAAGAAAGCTCATTTCCGCCGCTTGTATTCCTGATCTCATTCTTTCGGTCATTACCCATAGCTCATGACCATAGGTGAGGGTCGGGATGTAGACCGACCGGTAAACACAGAGCTTCGCCTTACGGCTCAACTCCCTCTTCACCAATACAGTCTGGTACAGCGACCGCATTACTGCTGCCGCCTGTCCCAGCCTGCGGTCGATCTCACGATCCCTCTTCCCATCACTCGTGAACAAGACCCCGAGATACTTAAACTCCTCCACCTGGGGCAAGTCCTTTCCCCCTACCTGGAGTGGGCATGCCATCCTTTTCCGGGCTAAGACCATGGACTCAGACTTGGAGGTGCTGATCCACATACCAACCGCTTCACACTCAGCTGCATACTGCTCCAGTGCGCGGTGGAGGCATCCATGTGATCCAGCCAAAAGAACAACATCGTCTGCAAATAGCAGAGATGCCACTCTTCGGC